TCGTCCCCCGCACTTTTTCGGGCAAGTGTGTTCGCATAGAGGTTTTCAAGAGCCGGTGTGAATAAATATAGATTTAAATTCAAAGAGACAGGATAGTCTGTGCATGATCTGATGTGTTATTCTGACACAGAATAAGGCGAGATGAACATCGCTGAGCGCTAAACACTCTGTGCAGTGTATGTTTCATTCATACTCGAAGCCGGAGGGCGCTCTCACGCAGAAAGTCGTACGAGGAAATTCCTAATATGGACAAAAGCGTCCAGCTATGCTGTATGAAAAGCAACGCTGTTGTTTTCACAGAAAAACAGAAACGTTAGGAAACATGAAGACATTAAACATACAATTGCGACAATATATGTTTTATTTGTGTTTGTCAAGTCATCTCCAGGTAATAAATAAAGTATATGAACACTAATGAATGTAATATTTATTACAGTATAGAAACTATTCTGCCTTATTATGTGATAAAAAAGTGTTTGTAGTATATAAACAAATCATTATTATTGGTCACTGTCCAGCAGTTATCTGATTTCTAAGCCAATTAAAGCTAGAAATTAGAGAAAAATTACAGTTGCCTATACACTACCAGTCAAAACTTTTTGAACAGTAAGATTTTAAATGTTTTTTAAAGAAGTCTCTTCTGTTCACCAAGCCTGCATTTATTTGATCCAAGTACAGCAAAACAGTAAAAATTGGAAATATTTTTACTAGGCTATTTAAAAGAACTATTTTCTATTTGAATATATTTTAAAATGTAATTTATTTTTGTGATCAAAGCTGAATTTTCAGCATCATTACTCCAGTCTTCAGTGTCACATGATCTTCAGAAATCATTCTAATAATCTGATTTGATGCTCAAGAAACATTTATTATTATTATTATGTTGAAAACAGCTGAGTAAAAAATTTTCAGGTTTCTTTGATGAATAGAAAGTTCAGAAGAACAGCATTTATCTGAAATAAAAATCTTTTGTAACATTATAAATGTCTTTATCATCACTTTTTATCAATTTAAATCATCCTTGCTAAATAAAAGTGTTAATTTCTATAATTTCTTTTCCCCAAAAAATTAAAATTATACTGACTCTAATCTTTTGAATGGTATAGTGTATAATGTTACAAAAGCTTTTTATTTCACATAAATGCTGATCTTTGGATCCTTCTATTCATCAAAGAATCCTGATAAAAATTACTCAATTGTTTTAAATATTGATAATAATAACAATAATAATTTAAAAAAAGGTAAATCCGCATATTAGAATGATTTCTGAAGGATGTGACACTGAAGAAAAATCATATAACAAAAAGGTAAAGTATTTGTATCTGTGAGTGAAGATCTCTAAATTTGAAAGCGACGTGGGAAATTGTATCCTATTTATCATATATCATGTTCTTCAAATTTTCTCATTATGGCAAAAATGATCTTGCATATCTCCAGGATATGCAGAATCTGCTTGGATAAAGGAAAGACGCTCAATGAATAATTCATTGCAGAGAAATCCAATAGCTCAATCTAAACTTACTTGACCTTAATTTGAACAATCCCGAATAATATGATCTCTCTCTTTCACAACATTACTGCTTTTGCTGTACTTTGGATCAAATAAATGCAGGCTTGGTGAACATAAGAGACTTTATAAAACATTAAAAATCTTACTGATCAAAAGCTGTTTACTGGTTGGTTATATAGATTACAGAAATGTTATATATATATATATATATATATATATATAAAACATTTCTGTCCCCCTCACTTCTGAAATGATGGCTATGCCCCTGGACATGAAAAACAGCGCATACCGCAGGAACGGTATAACGGAAAATATTAGCGGTTTTGAAACCGTGAATTCAATATAAAACTCATATCAACTCATATCAAAAATCATATAACAAAAAGGTAAAGTATTTGTATCCGTGAGTGAAGATCTCTAAATTTGAAAGCGACGTGGGAAATTGTATCCTATTTATCATATATCATGTTCTTCAAATTTTCTCATTATGGCAAAAATGATCTTGCATATCTCCAGGATATGCAGAATCTGCTTGGATAAAGGAAAGACGCTCAATGAATAATTCATTGCAGAGAAATCCAATAGCTCAATCTAAACTTACTTGACCTTAATTTGAACAATCCCGAATAATATGATCTCTCTCTCTCTCTCTCTCTCTCTAGATCATGAGGCCTGCAGTGAAGTCATCAGCTGTAGTTTAGCTCTGCACAGACACCTGTTGAGTGTGTCTGCAGGCCACGTTCAGCTGAGTGTCACGGATGCACCGCAGGTCGAGAGCACACCAGAGGAAGCTGTGTTTCACCAAGCGGTTGTTGTGCTCTCTTGCGCCTCCTACAGGAACCAGATCCTACATGTGTTTCTGAGACCTGCTCTGTTAGCAGTGGCCATGCAAAGTGCAAACTCCAACAGAAAAGGTGTGAGAGAAATATGTTCCCTTTTAGTCAGTCACGTTCAACGTTACGTCAGTAGTGACTGACAAATTGGGATCTTCGTTAGAGAGACCAATCACCTTGGAGTGTTAACAAAACAAGCCAATAAGTGTTGGCGTGCGATCTTTGCGTCGCGCACCCCGCCCCGCAGCACGGGTATATAAGGAGATATATATATACGCACATTCAGCTTTTTGCTTCGGAGCCGAGCCTTTCAGCTGGTCTGGTTACTGAGCACAGTGTCTACAAGACAGCGTTTGCAGTGTTGGTGTTACGGCGCGTCAGCGGGGGTTGCTAGTCCAGTGCTGCTGTTAGTGTTGGATGGCGTGCTGCAGCTCCTCAAACTGTGGTCGCGCTGCGACCTCTCCTGGGTGCTTCAACACTTTTTTTCTAAAAGAGCAATCTAAAAGAGCAAATCTAAAAGAATTCCACGAGTGACGCGGCGTCTTTTTAAAGATGGCCTTTCATTCGTGTGTTTCTGGGTGTGGTCGCTTCCTGGCTCCATCTGATGGGCACGAATGCTGCATCTTGTGCCTGGGCATTGAGCACGTTGAGGCAGCGCTCGTGGATGACTCATGTTCTCATTGCGGGGACATGACCATCGTGATGTTGCAATCAAGGCTCCTCCTCATTAAACGAGGGGGAGTCCCCCTCCCCATGCCCCGTTTTAGTTCCTCCCAACAGCGGAGGACTACTTCAGCGTATGGCCAGGGCGATCTGAGGATCACAGTGAGGGCTTCCCTGTCGAGTGCATCTCCACGGGCCCCTCACTCCTCCAGCACATCACACCCTCTTGTGTTCCGTGATGAGGTGGCTGAGACTCCAGACAGGGCGAGGTCTAGCGTCTCATTCGGGCCTCTGGCAGATGACAGGATGTCGATCACTGCTTAGGGGGACGAGCTAGGCTCTGGAGATGAGGACTCGGCTGCGCTGCCTCCGTCAGGAAGAGTAATGTTGCCCGAGTCAGATCCAGAGCTGACTGCTATGATTTCCCAGGCCGCCGAGAGTGTCGGGTTGCAATGGAAACCACCTCCATCTCCTGATCGCTCGAGGTTGGATGATTGGTTCCTGGGGGTGTCGCAGGCCGATCGCCAGCAGCCACCTCTGGTTCCTTTCTTTCCGGAAGTGCATGAAGACGTTACTAGATCTTGGAGGGCACCTTTTTCTGCCCGAAACAGAGCTAGTGCTTCTTCTGTCCTCGCTGCCTTCGATGGCGGGGCGGCTAAGGGGTATGTGGAGATCCCCCCCAGTCGAGTGCACTATTGCGATGCAGCTCTGCCTGCAAAGCGGCTCTGCCTGGCGGGGTAATCCGCGCCTCCTGTCCAGGGCCTGTAAGTTCTCATCCGCTCTAACGGCCAAGGCATACAGAGCTGCTGGACAGGCTGCCTCCGCCCTGCACGCCATGGCCCTCCTGCAGGTCTACCAGGCCAAGGTGTTGAAGCAGCTGCACTTGAGCATAAATGCAGGATTGAGCATTGTTATATTGTGCATTGTAATGCAGGAACTGCACACAGGAACTGCACACAGCGACGGACCTCGCCCTCCGGGCGACGAAAGTCACAGTGCGGTCCATCGGTCAGACAATGTCCACCCTGGTGGTCCAGGAAAGACATCTATGGCTGAACCTGGCAGATATACGAGGGAGGCCGACAAACACTGTTTCCTGGACTCCCCGATCTCCCAGGCTGGCCTCTTCGGTGATGTGATGGAGAGCTTCGCCAAGCAGTTTTCCGCCGCACAGAAGCAGACGGAGGTGATCAGTCCCTCCGCCCGCTCGTCACCGAGGGCGCCCTCCTACTGCCTCCACCTCCTCAACAGCAGCCTCCACAACGGCCGCAGCATGGAGCTGGCAGCAGGAAAACGGCGCAGCCTGTCTCTGCCCCTGCCAGGCCCGTAAAGCGCCAGGGCAAGCGGCGTCCCTGAGATGGGCGACCCGGAGACTCTGGATCCTGCTCTTCAGGAGGTGGTGATCGCACCCCTCCTTCCCCCGGAGGAGGGCCGGGTGGAGAATCTTTTGTTTCCTTTTTGTTTTGTGCCGCCACTGGCTCCCCAGCCAGTGATATCAAAAACATTCGATAAAAGAGCAGTTTCCTATTTCTATGGGTCTGAAGAGGGCAAGGCTGGCCGTGTGCGAGAACACGGCCTCGACACTCCCGTCCCCCTCTCCTTTCGCTAGCAGGCAGCAGGGCCCGGTTCGAGGATGATATGCCTTCTCACGCGCCCCCTACCCAATCGTGGAGCCAGGTAAGTGTTGCACCTCACAATCAGAACCCACTCCGGGACGCTGTGCCTTCCGGGTCGGGTCCCTGTGCTCCACCTCGCTGCGCCACTGCGAAACTGGTTCGGTGGTTCCCCTAGTTCCGCTTGTTCGGTTCCTGGGGGCCTGGCTAGCGCTCCCCAGACTGTCTCGCTGGCTCACGAGAACCATCAGACTCGGCTATGCGATTCAGTTTGCTCGGCGTCCTCCCAAGTTCAGGGGCATTCGGTTCACCTCTGTGCCGAGCAGGGATACTCCCGTCTTGCGAGGGGAAATCGCAGTCCTACTGGCGAAGGATGCGATAGAGCCGGTCCCTCCAGCCGATATGAAGTCGAGGTTTTACAGCCCCTACTTCATTGTACCCAAGAAAGGCAGTGGGTTACGACCAATCCTGGACCTGCGCGTTCTGAACCGGGCCCTTCGCAGGCTCCCGTTCAGGATGTTGACGCAGAAACGCATCTTTCGATGCGTTTGTCTGCTCGATTGGTTTGCAGCGATCGACCTGAAGGACGCGTACTTTCATGTTTCGATCCTCTCTCGACACAGGCCGTTTCTCTGCTTCGCGTTCGAGGGGTGAGCATATCAGTACAAGGTCCTCCCCTTCAGGCTATCCCTGTCACCTCGTGTCTTCATCAAGGTCGTGGAGGCAGCCCTCGTTCCATTGAGGCAAAGAGGCATTCGCATTCTCAACTACCTTATACTGGCCCAGTCTCGAGCGCAGTTGTGCGAACACAGGGACGTGGTACTCAGCCACCTCAGCCGGTTGGGGCTTCGGGTCAACTGGGAAAAGAGCAAACTCTCCCCCGTGCAGAGGATCTCTTTTCTCGGTATGGAGTTGGACTCGGTCAATCTGACAGCACGCCTCTCAGTAGAGCGCGCTCAGTCAATACTGAGCTGCCTGGAGTCCTTCCAGCGCAGGAGGGCGGTTCCACTGAACCAGTTTCAGAGGCTCCTGAGGCATATGGCATCCGCTGCCACGGTCACGCCGCTCGGATTGCTTCATATGAGACCGCTTCAGCATTGGCTTCACGACCGAGTCCCAAGATGGGCATGGCAACACGGTACTTACTGGGTCCCAGTCACCCTGTCTTGCCGCCAGACCTTCAGCCCGTGGTCGGACCTTGCCTTTCTTCGGGCAGGAGTTCCCCTAGTGCAAGTGTCACTTCAACACTTCAAATTGCTGCTGCACGACAAGCACGTAGTGGTCCGGACAGACAACACTGCGACTGTTGCGTCAACCACCAGGGCGGTCTACGCTCCCGTCGCATGTCGCAACTCGCCTGCCATCTCCTCCTTTGGAGTCAGAAGCATTTGAGGTCGCTTCACGCCGTTCACATTCCAGGCGAGCTCAATCGTGCAGCCGACAAGCTCTCACGTCAGCCCGCCCTTCCGGGAGTACCCAAGAAAGGCAGTGGGTTACGACCAATCCTGGACCTGCGCGTTCTGAACCGGGCCCTTCGCAGGCTCCCGTTCAGGATGTTGACGCAGAAACGCATCTTTCGATGCGTTTGTCTGCTCGATTGGTTTGCAGCGATCGACCTGAAGGACGCGTACTTTCATGTTTCGATCCTCTCTCGACACAGGCCGTTTCTCTGCTTCGCGTTCGAGGGGTGAGCATATCAGTACAAGGTCCTCCCCTTCAGGCTATCCCTGTCACCTCGTGTCTTCATCAAGGTCGTGGAGGCAGCCCTCGTTCCATTGAGGCAAAGAGGCATTCGCATTCTCAACTACCTTATACTGGCCCAGTCTCGAGCGCAGTTGTGCGAACACAGGGACGTGGTACTCAGCCACCTCAGCCGGTTGGGGCTTCGGGTCAACTGGGAAAAGAGCAAACTCTCCCCCGTGCAGAGGATCTCTTTTCTCGGTATGGAGTTGGACTCGGTCAATCTGACAGCACGCCTCTCAGTAGAGCGCGCTCAGTCAATACTGAGCTGCCTGGAGTCCTTCCAGCGCAGGAGGGCGGTTCCACTGAACCAGTTTCAGAGGCTCCTGAGGCATATGGCATCCGCTGCCACGGTCACGCCGCTCGGATTGCTTCATATGAGACCGCTTCAGCATTGGCTTCACGACCGAGTCCCAAGATGGGCATGGCAACACGGTACTTACTGGGTCCCAGTCACCCTGTCTTGCCGCCAGACCTTCAGCCCGTGGTCGGACCTTGCCTTTCTTCGGGCAGGAGTTCCCCTAGTGCAAGTGTCACTTCAACACTTCAAATTGCTGCTGCACGACAAGCACGTAGTGGTCCGGACAGACAACACTGCGACTGTTGCGTCAACCACCAGGGCGGTCTACGCTCCCGTCGCATGTCGCAACTCGCCTGCCATCTCCTCCTTTGGAGTCAGAAGCATTTGAGGTCGCTTCACGCCGTTCACATTCCAGGCGAGCTCAATCGTGCAGCCGACAAGCTCTCACGTCAGCCCGCCCTTCCGGGAGAATGGCGACAGTCCAGCTAATCTGGAGATGCTTCAGAGACACTCAGGTAGACCTGTTTGCCTCTCCGGACATGTCCCACTGCCAGCTGAAGTGGAACCTGCTCATCGATTGTTGTTCTTCCCGGCGGGAAGACCCCCGTAGATGCCCGATCGCGGTCGTGTTCTCCTTTCTGCAAGAAGGGCTGGAGTGAAGGCTGTCTCCCTCCACCCTCAAAGTGTATGTTGCCGCTATCGCCGCACATCACGATGCAGTAGGCGGCAAGTCTATTGGGAAGCACAACTTGATCATCAGGTTCCTAAGGGGTGCGAGGAGGCTGAATCCTCTGCACCCCCACCTGGTACCCTCTTGGGATCTCCCCTTGGTCCTGACGGCCTTGAAGGAAGAGCCCTTCAAACCTCTGCAGTCAGTAGAGCTTAAGTTTCTGTCGCTAAAGACAGTGCTCCTCACTGCATTGACTTCAGTTAAGAGGGTCAGGGACCTGTAGGCATTTTCGGTCGACGATTCATGCCTTGAATTCGGGCCGGCCGACTCTCACGTTGTCCTGAGTCCCCGGCCTGGATATGTGCCCAAAGTTCCCACCACGCATTTCAGGGATCAGGTGGTGAACTTGCAAGCGCTGCCCCGGGAGGAGGCAGACCCAGCCATTGCTCTACTCTGTCCCGTTCGTGCTTTGCACATTGCACCTCAGACCAGCACTTTGTCTGCTTTAGAGGACAGCAGAAGAGAAAGTCTGTTTCCAAATAAAGACTTGCCCACTGGATAGTGGAGGCTGTAGTCTTAGCATACCAGGCCTAACGTTTACCGTGCCCACTTGGAGTGAGAGCACACTCCACAAGAGGAGTGGCATCTTCTTGGGCATTGGCACGAGGCGCCTTGATAGCAGACATCTGTAGAGCTGCCGGCTGGGTGACACCTAACACGTTTGCGAGATTCTATAATCTCCATGTAGAGCCTGTGTCCTCTCGTGTACTTACCTCAGATGGTCAGTGACACCGGAACCGCTCGGTGTCCATCACGCTTGCTGCGCCATTCCCCTCTATGGACTGAATACGTGCTTCTCAGTTCTGTTTCCCTTTTGGTGAACCCTGTTGAAGTTCCTGCCGCACCCTAGGTGGTCAGGCATGGCGGAGCGCAAGACGCCAGGTCCAGCACTCGTGTGTATGCCCAAGGTCAGTCCTTGTGCTGGGCTAGGTGCCCGTGTGTAATGATTCCTCCTTCGGGTGATCCCACATGTGTATTCTTCCACTCACGGTAAGCCTGTGTCTTTCCCTAGCAGAGATTTTCTGCCATCTCTGCTGCGTAGTATCTCACCCCAGGCAGGCTGAGTCTACCGCAGGGACTTCCATATGTTGCACTTCCCTATGGCCAGTCCATATGTGGAATTCCACATGATACCTTCTATATGCAGGATGTGGCTTCCTTAGCGTTCCCCTACTTGGGTACGCTTTCCCAGTGTTATCCAATGTCCCACTGTATGGATCAGCAGTGGCAGACACCTCTGCCTAAGCCCTGTCCTATCCTCCGCCCCAACTGGTGTGAGGGGGACATGCTGGCTTTCGCAGGGCACTGGAGGGGGTCAGCAAAAGTGGGGTTTTCCATACGGATCCCAATTCGTCAGTCACTACTGAAGTAACGTTGAACGTGACTGACTGAAAGGGAATGTTATGTTCCGTCGCCACAGTTGCTGTACCACCGCTGTACGGCCGAGGCACACCGTCTCGGCTCCTCAGCGAAAAACTGAATGTGTGTCTGCACGCAGTCTCCTTATATACCCGCGGGGCGGGGTACGCGACGCAAAGATTGCACGCCAACACTTATTGGCTTGTTTTGTTAACACTCAAAGGTGATTGGTCTCTCTAGCGAAGATCCCAATACGTCAGTCACTACTGACGTAACGTCTCCATTCCCTCCTTCAGGGAACGAGGGTTACATACGTAACCAAGACGTTTTATAAATGTTACTAGTTTTTCTCTGGATTAGTAGATTTTACCAATCACAAAGTCATTTGTGTTCTAGACGACGTCTACAACTGTTTCAACTTTCTGAGAAACATGTTCTCCAATGAATTTATTCTTTGCCCTGGGGACTCGGTTCAGGTTAGACCACAGTCACAAAAATCTTGTCACCATGATTTGTAACTGAATATGTGAGAATCATTTGAAAGCCAAACTTTTACTGTTTCAGTTGAAACCGAATGAAATCACAAGTCCTTAAAAGAATCTCAGCTCTAGATTGTAATGTCAAATGTCTTTTCATGACATGTTATCGTGTGTGTTTTTGTAGGACTTTGAAGAAGCGTGTTATTTGCTCATGAAGCGTGGAGTGTTGCAGGTATTGGAGCATGAGATTGTGATGTCAGCAAGCGGTCACAGCACCCTCGCTTTCCTGTCTTCGGTTCTGGACCCCTTCCTGCAGGGATACCAGGTGACACCTCATACACAATGTGCAAATGTATACTGCTCTGTTCAAAAGTTCAGTCAGTATGATTTTTTCTTCTTCAGTTGTTTTCAACATTGATAATAATATGAAATGCTTCTTGAGCAAATCAGCATATTAGAATGATTTCTGAACGATCATGTGACACTAAAGACTGGAGTAATGATGCTGAAAATTCAGCTTTGCATTGCAAGAATATTTGACAAAAAAATCTATTAAAATATATGAAAAGTAAAATATATTAAAATAGCTTTTTTTATTGTAATAATATTTCACAATATTAATATTTTTACTGTATTTTTAATCAAATAACAGACTTGTTTCAAGAACAATCTTACTGAGCCCAATCTTGTGATTTTAGCATGAATAGCAGACCTGCCAACCTGTACGCATTTTGCGTAGCGGGTACGCATTTTGACCTTAAAGTACACTGGTACGATTTGTCACTAAACTACGCAAAAACCCAGTGACCTGTCCACGTGCAGTAAACAAGCAACAGAAAAAGATGAGGAGTTCAACCAATCAGTTTATTTTTTTATTTCTCTCCAAACTGGCTCTATTTGTGTGTCCGTGAGTCGTGCGTGAGATGAGGAAACACGTGTATGGTATTTCCTGGAGTCGTGAGCTCTATTTTTTCGGTGATGCATATGTGGACTTTCTGCACAGGGGCACCCTCTAGTATCCAGTATGAATGAAACAGACATTACATGTGTTCATAGCACTAAATAATGGCCAATCTATAAAAATAATACTTCTCTCAAAATAAATGTAAGGTAGACATGTGATAATCCATGTTTTTCTACAGTGTACAACAATGTACTGGAGTTACAATGTACTTGTTTTTTTTAAATAGCATTTAAAATCGCTAAAAAGAACTCTGTTGTGCCAAACCATCAGAACCAAACTGAAAACTGTTTTAAGGTTGAGGTATTTTTTGACCCTTGTATTACTGTATTGTTGCATTCCTACTGTTTACTCTAAAATACTGTATAACAGGAATATCACAAACTGAGTGCAGACTCCGAGAACTAACCTATGAAAAATATTTAACACGAAGTCTAGCATTTTGCACATTGTGCAATTACGATTTTGACATTAGCCATCAAGGAGCTTCAAGTAATGTAGGAATAGGCTATATGACCTATAGGCTATGGATTACAGGCAATAATGTTCAGTTTCTTGCACAGGCCAATCGTTTCACTTCATAAGATCTCAATATATCGTCAGGAGTCATGGGTATTTATTTTGTCTTGCCTGATATGATTTTTTTGACTCTCAAAGTGACGGTAGCCGCTTTGCATTTTATGAATTACCAAGGATCATGATTTCAGCTAAAAATCTTCTTTTCTGTTCTACTTATGAAAAAAGAGTCACATACACATTGGATGGCCTGATGGTAAATTAACAGCAAATTGTCATTTTTTTGGGTGAAATATCCCTTTAACTAGTAGGCCCTGTATAAAACTGCTTATTTATTAATTGTTTTCACATAGGAAAAATTGTAGGTTTAATTAACTGCTATTGAAGGTCATATTAATTTGTGTGTGTCTTTGTGCAGGTGGTGAGCCGCTATCTGTGTGAGGAGACTAATGAGAACCTGACGGAGAAGGAGTTTATTCCTGCTGTGAGGAATTTTGCACTGAAACTCATATTAGCAGGTAACACAGCATGGCAGTGGAGGTTTAAATTGTTTACACACCAGGTCCTGTTTACACCTGGTATTGACATCCATCTCAACTGATCCGATTATGCATGTCCTGCGCTGCGTCCGCTTGTGATCAGATCCGGTAGATGGTGTTGCAATTGTCTCAGACCACTAAAAGCTTATTTTGCGTCGGTTTGAAATTTCAGTCTTCTGCTTTCTCTGTGTGTTTGTCATCATGGCATCAGGCCGTCTGAAATGTTATGAAGCTTTATCCTCCGACCTGCAGAAGAACGCTCTAGCAGCTTTTCTGAGGCTCAAAGCCGTGAGGAAGGTCAAAGTGTAAGTCCATCTACATCTAGTCTGTGTTTCATGGGCTTTTGAAATGTTATGGTTGTTTAACTGACGTGAACTCTCTCTCACAGAGGAGATCAGGTGACGCTGAAGGTAAACAAGATTGCAGTGAACTCATTGGAGGATACGCTGGGTAAGAGTGATGTCACATCTCATCAAAATAGCTGGTGTTCAAGTATGGCAATGTTTGAAATAGCAATCTAACATACTAGTCTAATTATATCTGCAGTATATAATGTTTATTGTACACCCAAAGTTAATTTGACTGTAAGCATGGGATACCTGGATCATGTACAGTACTTTGGTAATAAGAAGTATAAAGCAGACTACACTGTCTGCAATACTGTATCCCAAAATGCATTGTGGCTGGCAACCAGTGTGACGAATGAATGGGAAGGAAAATAATTTTTCTCTTTCTTCTTAACTTTTTTTATTCGTCTGTTAAGTATTACATCATTTGAAAAAGAGTTATTTAGCTTTTAGCAATATTTAGTTTCTGTACTTAAAAATCCGCGTGAAGAGGTCATTTAACTACAGATATAGCATTCTAATGTTTGATTTTATTTTAAATTTTTTCCTGGAATGCCTTCTGTGTCACCAATATTGTTATTGTCAAGTGTATGTACTGTATATATATATATATATTACTAAGTTATCTTATCACATACAATTTTTTAATAATAGTAGGCAATAATCAGTGTAAACTGTTCAAAATAAATAAATAAATAAATTTTTATTGTAATACACTGTTAGATTTACACCGATTTAATTGCTGAATTGTTTTGCAAAAGCACACAGAGCATTATAGAGCATTAGATTGTATAAATAAAACTTATATTTTTGTAACTAAAATGACATGCAAAAGACTCCCAATTTATATTTATGAATGCGAATAGTTTTACAAATTACACAAAATTGCTCATGTGCATAATGTGCTCATGTTTTAATAACTACAGTAGCCTTATGTTTAGATTACCGCAGATATGTGTTCAGAAATAAAAGAGGATTTAAAATAGTCAGCAAGAAACATACAATTTTCTTTTTTTTTTTTACATTTTGATGAAAATAAGTACATATCAGGTAAACTTTGAAGGACTTGTTTTATAAAATGGTCCCAAAAAACATATTATTATTATTTTACAAGTACTATTAAAGAATATTTAAAAAGTTATGTATATACAAAATAGTTTGGTCTTTTTTTTAAATTTTAGTTCGAATTTGAATTTTATTTAGTTAAAATTTGAAAATTGAATTATATTAAAGGGGTCATATGATGCGATTTCAAGTTTTCCTTTCTCTTTGGAGTGTTACAAGCTGATTGTGCATAGATAAGATCCCTGAAGTTGCAAAGACTAAAGTCTCAAAACCAAAGAGATATTCTTTATCAAAGTTAAGACTCTTGCCACGCCCCCCTAAAACGGCTCGTTCTAACACGCCCCCACATATCTACCTCACTATGTGGAAATATTACAATTACTGAATTGTTTTTATTGAGTGAATGCAACAACAACATCTAAATATGTAATAGGTAAAACGTAAACCAGTGCACACACATATTTAAAAATTATTAAAACATATTTTAAAAATAAACATTATAGTGAACTATATACTTTTTTTGGCCCAGATTTTATTGCTTGCTTTTAAAATGCAGTAATTTGCTCTTAAAAAAGTAACGTTTTAAAAGTTTCCTCAGACAGAATTCGTTTGTTTGCCTCATTTTCCACTGTGACCCAGTTCTTGTCTCGCTGTGCTGTAGTGCCATGGCCTCCTGCATCTTCGTTCTATTTTACAGCTACGCTTGTTTACTTTTCTTTTCCTCTGTCACACAGGAGGTAAAATTCCTACCCAGAAGCCCATCCTCGCTCGACTGTAGTCGTATACGCACACGTGGAGTCTCTGGAGGGCCAAACCAAACTAAACTGCCTTCATTAACATAATGCCAAATTTTGCAAGGTGGCATGGCTTCGCTGACTACAAAGGTTACCTGTCATCGAGCTTTAAAGGGACGTCACGGGTTTGCCATCTGGGACGCCCACGTTACGCTAGAAACACTCTTTTTATCTCTCTCCCTCTCTGACAAGCTTGACAGCAGGTTGCCGTGTCTGTGATCAGCTTTCGATCTTCACCGTGTCTTTATCAGACGAGTTTTAAACTGCTCTAAAGTTGCCAAGTAGATGAAGACAGTGACACTTTAGATTTTTTTTTCTTTTTTTTTTTTTCCGCATTTGAACGTCCTGTTACCACCGTTTGTATGTTTTATCTACGTCTGCACTAAAGAGCCTTCGCTTTGATTTGAAACACTGTTACTGTTTGTTCTCACTGGATATGTTGATTTCTCTAGATATGGCCGTCTGTTGCATTTGCTACGGATCAACGTTTTTAGGGATCATGTTACAAAAATAGATCACTCGAAAGTGTGTTAACTCCTTCAGAGCTAAAGAAAAATTGTCTTTTTGTATCTGCTCTTATAAAAGAAACTTGTAGTTAAAGGAACAGTTCACTCGAAAAAAAAAAATTGCTGAAAATTTACTCAGGTCATCAAAGATGTAGATGAGTTTGTTTCTTCATCGGAACAGATTTGGAGAAATGTATAGCATTACATCATTTGCTCACCAGTGGATCCTCTGCAGTGAATGGGTGCCGACCGAATGAGAGTCCAAACAGCTGATAAAAACATCACAATAATCCACATAACTCCAGCCCATAAATTAACATCTTATAAATCAAAAAAATCTGCATCTTTGTAATAAACAAATATATCATTAAGATGTTTTTAACTTCAAACCATTGCTTCCAGCTAAAATACGAGTCCTTTATATTGTTTTCTCTAGTGGACTTGGACTTGTATTTTGGCCAGAAGTGAAGGTTTAAAGTTAAAATGCCTTAATGATGGATTTGTTTCTTATAAACAAGCAGCTTTTTACTTCACAAGATGTTAATTGATGGACTGAAATCGTGTGGATTACTTGTGGATTGTTGTGATGTTTTTATCAGCTGTTTGGACTCTCATTCTGACGGCACCCATTCACTGCAGATGATCCATTGGTGAGCTGAGCAAGTGATGTAAAGCGGAATTTCTCCAAAGCGAACTCATCTACATCATGGATGGCCTGAAGGTGAGTAAAACTTCAGCTAATTTTCATTTTTGGGTGAACTTCTCCTTGATTAACAGAAAGGCTGTTCTCATGAGCCAAATATGGAGACTCTTTACTGCCACAACAGTGTTTACAGGCCTCTCGTAAACTGCAGCATTTCTGCTACAAAATAATAATGCATAATGAAGCGACGGGTTTTATTTGATGCATTACTGCATTGTTTGGATATTTCACATTATCTTTAAATAAGTAATACGATGAAATATTTTTATTATTAAAAAGGATCAGCCGATACAGAGGCATGTCGCAAATGCGGAATCTCTGTTCGCTCGGTTTAATGTCCCTGTTATGTTTTTTTTTCTAAGCATTATATCCATTTTTCAGACAAAGTTAAGCTTTTAAAATGATGTGGAGTTGGTGCCGTATCAGTTTCGGTTTCTGTGTTTTTGGTTTTTCACACTGCAAACTAAAACTGAACTACAAAGTTTAGATACAGTTATGTGCTGCATTTTTTCTAGGGAAAGAAAAAATCTAAAATTGTGGCCATTGTGTGGATTAGAATGGGAATTCAGGTATATTTTTATCCCATATTTTGGACTGATCATCAGACATTATTTGTCTGTAATCACTGAATGGCTGATGCAACTATAAAACACAAGCCAAAGAAAAGTAAAGCCATAGCATTCATTCACTCTTTCTTGCACAGTTCGTTGAATTAAGTAAAAAAGCTGAAGCCATATTTATGTTTACATTGACAAGCAGCTTTTTACATAATTAGATGAATTCATCTTGTGGATTGAAATGGTTTTGAAAGAATCTGTGGAAATCATTCCTTTCGACTTTTTTTCCCCTTCTATGGATTGAGTGTCTTTCTAATAATGTTAATATTGTGATTGAACAGTGTTTCCGTCTGATAAATTTGGAGAAATGCGACTAAAACTAAAGATTAAGTGTATTAAAGCTACGTGCAACCCAAATGCTGGCCATATTATGTGTTTTTGTAATATGTAGTGTATATGATCAATATTTCTGGTTTTCTCCAGCCATTTGATTACATTTTCTTTTCTTACTTTTTTTTTTATTTGATTTTTTTATTTTTTTAACCCAGCATTTAGTTATCACTGTGATAGCAAAGCTGAATTTTCAGCATCATTACTCCAGTCTTCAGTGTCACACGATCCTTCAGAAATCATACTAATATGCTGATACTCATGAAACATTTCTTATGTTGAAAACATTTGTGCTGCTCTTCATTTTTGTGGAGAGCACGATACTTTTGTTTTTCAGGAATCTTTGATGAACACGGTTCAAAAGAACAACATTTATTTGAAATAGTCTCCTTTCGACTTTTTTTCCCCTTCTATCTATGGATTGAGTGTCTTTCTAATAATGTTAATATTGTGATTGAACAGCGTTTCCGTCTGATAAATTTGGAGAAATGCGACTAAAACTAAAGATTAAGTGTATTAAAGCTACGTGCAACCCAAATGCTGGCCATATTATGTGTTTTTGTAATATGTAGTGTATATGATCAATATTTCTGGTTTTCTCCAGCCATTTGATTACATTTTCTTTTCTTACTTTTTTTTTTATTTGATTTTTTTATTTTTTTAACCCAGCATTTAGTTATCACTGTGATAGCAAAGCTGAATTTTCAGCATCATTACTCCAGTCTTCAGTGTCACACGATCCTTCAGAAATCATACTAATATGCTGATACTCATGAAACATTTCTTATGTTGAAAACATTTGTGCTGCTCTTCATTTTTGTGGAGAGCACGATACTTTTGTTTTTCAGGAATCTTTGATGAACACGGTTCAAAAGAACAACATTTATTTGAAATAGTAATGTTTTTACTGTCACTGTTGATCAATTTAATTGGTCCTTATGTAATAAAAGTAATAATTTAATTTCTAAAAATAAATAAATACTGTCATTAAACGTTTGAATAGTAGTCCATGTTGGAAACGGGTCTCAAGATAAAGGTCTGGAAATCATTCTTTACTATTAGTATTTCACACACATTATAATAGTATATATAATATTATAAGTATATAAGAATAATAGCAAAGTTAGTAAAGCCACTGACATTATGCAATAACACAAATGGAAATATATAACAGTAAATAAAAACTAATTTTAACGCCCCTTTCACTCAGGACTCTTCTTTACTAAATGAATTAAAGGTTTTGTTTTAAAATACAATAACACATTTTATTTCAATCTTCCAAATCAAGTCTGAACAATCTGCTGGGAGTCCAATAAAAATCTTCGATTTAGGCAACTTTTGTCTCATCCTCATCCTTGCTGTTGTTGGTTTATCAGTCTTGTCCTCTAGATGGCAGACTTAGATGTGGATTTACCAGCTCACATTAATCAGCCTGTATATTTTGGCCAGTTCGAGCCTTGCACCAAATTTGTGCAGCCAAGCAAAACCTTTTACTCATATTTCCTTTCCATTTCATTCATCTTGTCAACAGGATATCAATCACAATGGCAGCAATCTCTTCCACTGAGCACACAGGACATGTCTACTGCGGGTTCTTGACATTTCCAGTGTTCATGCTGTAGCTACAATTCGGCATATCGTAATTGTATCTGTTTAAATAACAGTGATCCTGAATATCCAGGTATGCACATCAGTCTGCTTCTTATGAGAGCACCTGGAGATTTGGTTTGGTGCTCACACTGCACTCATTAAATATAACTTTAAACAATCAAATAATTTAAAATGGTAATAATAGTATTATTGCACTTTATTTTTGTATTTTTCTATAAACAAAATAAAGTGTGATAGTAGTATATTTAAAAATAATAAATAAAACATTAAATTAAAAAATACAATTATTTATAGTACACGTTAATATTTATATTTTCTTTTATTTCTCTTTCTTTTATATTTTGATATGAATTTTTTATTATTTTTTTAAACCTAAAATCAGCAAGCTTTTATTTTGACGGGCATGCGAAGCGCATCAGTAGTGAACGAAATTTCATTTTTGCTCTGAAACCGATAGCACATATCCTAGATTTATGCTTTCCGTTCGAATGCAGCAATCTCTTCCACTGAGCACACAGGACATGTCTACTGCGGGTTCTTGACATTTCCCGTGTTCATGCTGTAGCTACAATTCGGCATATCGTAATTGTATCTGTTTAAATAACAGTGATCCTGAATATCCAGGTATGCACATCAGTCTGCTTCTCATGAGAGCACCTGGAGATTTGGTTTGGTGCTCACACTGCACTCATTAAATATAACTTTAAACAATCAAATAATTTAAAATGGTAATAATAGTATTATTGCACTTTATTTTTGTATTTTTCTATAAACAAAATAAAGTGTGATAGTAGTATATTTAAAAATAATAAATAAAACATTAAATTAAAAAATACAATTATTTATAGTACACGTTAATATTTATATTTTCTTTTATTTCTCTTTCTTTTATATTTTGATATGAATTTTTTATTATTTTTTTAAACCTAAAATCAGCAAGCTTTTATTTTGACGGGCACGCGAAGCGCATCAGTAGTGAACGAAATTTCATTTTTGCTCTGAAACCGATAGCACATATCCTAGATTTATGCTTTCCGTTCGAATGGAAATCTTAGTCGATCTTAAACGGTGATTGATTGTGTATTAACAGCTGTCAATCATGTCCATATGCAAATGAGCAGTCTGAACATTTACCCAGGGCATTTTTTATATTGGTCGCGCATGTGCACCTGCACAGTGTGCGCACTATTTATGTGCATCTCTGTGTATCTCTTTTCTTATTCATACATCCATAGTTTTATTTGATTGATTAGGCTCATTTAGCAAAACACATTCATCAAATTAAAATAAGCAGTGAAGTCCTGCTGTTTATTCTGCCATGTGGAACTGGGAATATAGGATTGGCCAGAGTTTCCACCTCTACCAGAAAATCTCTGATGAAACCGAAACTTTGAGGTCTGTTCGGTGTCATTCTGTCTCAAGGTCACATCTAATTATCACAGCCCGGACTTTTTGTCCACTGGAGTTTTTTTTTTTTTTCAATGTCACTGGACATGTTATCAATATTTCATTGTCTGATGACTAAAAGTAAGTAACACATGTCACATTTTTAAAAAAGCAATGCAGACATGATGTTGGGAAATGGCACTGGCTAAGCTAAATTAAAAAGGTTATGAACAAATAAGTGAAAATTATGTTTTACTATGTTGATACACAGTAAATATGTGATGTATTTATGCGCAAATGAAATCAGGTCTGTATAGAGTATTTGCCCGTGTGCATACCAGTGTTTGGATGAATGAATAAAAATGCTCTTAAAGAAGTCTTAATTTCTACTGAGAAAAATGCATTGTAGTCATTATATATTTGCTTGGTTATTTTTAAAGATAGCTTATATCATCTTAGTCACTTTATGGTGTAGTTATTC